CCACTGGTAATAGAACATGGATTAATATTTAAACAGGAAAAAAATTATCTAAGTAAGTGTACTAATACAGTATTGTAGACAAACGCACCCGTAGACATAAGCCACGCGCCAGCTTATACGAAACGACTGTATAGCGAGGAAAACACCGAATGGAATAAAACAGCCAACTTCAGAAGTGCGCATGCACGATGTTATGAACATGACGCGTAATGGCAAAATTATCAATATTTTATGCATGATGAAAACAAAAATTATTACTCCAGACAGAATTTCTCACAAAACAAATTAAACATCTTGGACAGAGGCCTATGACCGACCAGTGTCTTGACGCAATCTTACCGGAACGCCACAATCTGCGTTAAATATGAAGCACGTCCAGGTCGAATTTGGAACCTAGTGGGCATTCGTAGCATAATTGTGCTTTTCGGCATTTGAAGCATTAATGCTACGCATAATGTATTGAAAAAGTAGCATAACGTAGCACAATTAAATTTAAAATTGCCGTAAATTATATTAGGGCCTACTGTATATTTAGAAAAATAAATTTTAAAAAAAAGTATGAGAGTGTCATTGCTGCAGGCATGTAGGAAGCAGTTTGTTATTGATTAGGCAAGAGGGATCCTAACACCCCCAGAGAGTCTCAACGGGCATCTCATCAGTCACTCTAGAAATTTCAATCCAGGTGCTAATATTGTAATTACTAGTAATTGCGTTACAGTAAAATTTACTAGAGCGGTAGAACCATGGTAGGACAATATTGGGAGGTGCATTCTTTGCTCAGACCACGGATAATAAAACAAGGGTTAAGTCATGTAAACAGAAAACTATTATTAAAGGAACGTTAATTGGGCTAGCAGTTTTTTTAATCCTCATTTTTCATACAGCATTTGAATACTAAATAGAAAATGAAACTATAAAATGTTTTAAAGTAGGCCTAAGATCTCCTCAGATTTAATTTAATACCTCCTCTTACCCACTTTTACCAACACTGGTATGTAAGGTGAAACTTCCACATATTATTTTATACCGTTTTAGATTAATTTTTATATTGTATTTAAATTTCATATTTTATATGATAAATATTGTTTTATTATTATTTTATAGAAAATGTATATTAAAGTTAACATTTTATTGTATTTTTTGTGAATTGTTTTTTTGGAGACCGTGTTTTGGGAGAACAAGTTAGATATTGATTTAGATCAATTTCTTGAATCCTCTTTCTAACCGTTGTTTGCCCCCCACCCCCTTTCTTTTGCTTACCGTATCTTTTTGCGTTGTACCATTGAGAAGAGATAAATGAAATTAAATTAAATTGCTTGTGGTTATGTAGAACACTTGACAAAATAAGGTCTGATGAATATATAAGTGTATATATATATACAGTATATATACAATATATATTATATATATTATGTATTAGGCCTATATAATATATATGACGTTCCTAACTACCAGTACCTTAAACTACTCTTAACTACAAACTACTGTACTCTTAACTACTGTTAATTACACAATCCATCGCCGGACACCATCCCAGTATTTAGGAGTTTCGGGGCCAATTGCCCCGAAATAATATAAAATAATGATAATGATTGCTAATCCATAGATAAACAATATGACAATAGGGCCCTTTTAATCACCGCTACTCTGATGCTTATGTTTTCCTTGTAATAACATCAGTTGTACGTATCCGCCTGATGAGTGTGGTTGGCTCTGCCAACCATACGAAACAATGTTGTAGTGGAAATAAATAATATGAAGTAACCAAGTTTTGCCTCCGTTTGTTTTGATTTGTATTCAGCAACTGTTCCCTCCAACAAACTTATTATATGTCCATCACAAGTGCATTTTAATTTGATTTCGATCATTAAGCAGGACTACCTTTACACTATTTCCTCTCACCATCAAAACAAAATAAAATCTGTCATACCTGTCTCTTATACACATCTAGATGTGTATAAGAGACAGTATATATATAGTATTTTCAACATAGAAAACACATTGTAAACTTTAACTTCACCTTTAAATAGAATAGGTTTTTGTTGTTTGCCAATTAACATCATCAACCACTTATTCTGAGAGCTTTAATAACATTTCTTGCTGCATTTTTAAACTCCTGTCTTCTAAAGGTATATATGATTGGGTTCAGGACTGAATTGATTGACAATGACGGAACTATCAAATTATTAACTATATGTGGCAAATCACAGCAAAATAAGGAAAGTAGAACAAAAATATACGTCGGTGTTGAACATATCATAAACGCACCAATCACAATCATCGTTGTCTTTGTTGCTTTCCAAGACGCAGCAAATGTTGCCAGAGGCTGCCCTGAGATAACAGCGTTGATTTGTCGGAATTGCTTGCAAGCTATAATGTAAATTCGCACATTCAAAGAAATAATTATAAAGTAGCTTATCAAACCAACTGTTAAACTAATTATTGAAATCAAAGTAACTTGGTATAAATTTTCACACACGAAAATGATCACATCTGTACTTTTAAATGTAATGCGTCCGTCTGCAAAAGTTATTAAAGGAGTTATCCAAACAATACATATTAATATACACACACATTTTTTGCTAATTCTCTGATAGAAAAATGGCCGAGTTATCAATAAATATTTGTCTATGGTCATTGCTAAAAGATGGGTTAATGATACAGACGTCAGATAAAAAAATACAAAATATAGCAACCAAGTGTTTTCCATAAGGAGCATCATTGGCAAACTGGATGAAAGGTCGACAATTGCAAGACTAGCTGTGAGATAATTGCTGCTAGTATGAAGTGAGGGACATTTAATGATGACAGACACCACAAAAATGTTACCAACGAAAGCAAATATTCCAAGTAAACGAACGAGTAAAGTTAAGTTAATAGCAGGATTCCCCTCCAAGTAGTTCGTCGAGTTGGCCTCCATTTCTATTGTCTATTTAAGGAACATGCTTTTCCTCAAGGGGCAGATCACAAATACATGAAAATGTTGATTCACTGCATTACGAAGCTTTAAATTAGTAAATACAGATGTCAATATATGTGTACGTGTAGGCTGTAAGTTTGTATTTACAGTTATACGTCACTCAGAATTTTAACAACATATGATTTGGTTTAAAAGATTTTAAAAGTTTATTGCGCTTTATGAGTAATGCTGCATTTACTTAACAGTACAAACAGAGCAACAACAGCAATAACAAAAGTTAACGTTATCCTGATAATCAGCAATTGACTTGGTGGTAGCTGTTAATGTATCGCTTCCCTCTAATACTGTACTGAAGTCAATGAGGTGCGTCAAACACCTAAACGCAAGTCATTCGTAAATATAATTTTTCTTCAGCAATGAACTATTATACTCATACGCCTCGCCCTTTGGTTATTGCTAACGCCTCTCATGCTTACATTCCCTGTTCTGATTGGTCAGTTATTAAGATTGATTGACTCTCCGAAAAGGTCCATTGAAAAAATGCACTGACAACTATTTGTCAAATTCGTTCATTAAACGATAAGTAAAGTATCTTAGTAATAATGCTGACAAAAACTAAATGTTTACACTAAAAAATATAAAAGGCCGTCAATAATGTCCGAAGAACAAGGAACATTTACAAGTAACTAATAACACTCGATGAATACGTTTGACAGTTATATTATCAACAAACCTGGGAACAGTTAAATTTAACTGTTCCCTCCAACAAACTTATTATATGTCCATCACAAGTGCATTTTAATTTGATTTCGATCATTAAGCAGGACTACCTTTACACTATTTCCTCTCACCATCAAAACAAAATAAAATCTGTCATACTAATAAAAATGAAACAAAATTTAATATAATCAAAAATTCAATCTAACTCCCTAAATATTCATACATATCACCATAGAGAAAATAGAACAGTGGCAAAACTAATGAATGGTAAACAAGGAAATATTTTTTTTTATACTCACTTTATTTATTCGTTTTATTTTCCCTTATTCATCATTTATATTTTTATATCATATATTATATATTTCTTCATGCCATTTTTGATAGTTATGTGTCCACTTGACATTTTATTTGACATTATTATATTATTATTATCATCATCATCATATTTTTGGCCTATTTCTTTGTTTACCATTCATTAGTTTTGCCACTCTGACCAGTTATTTATGGCAATTCGCTTATGTCAGACATAAGGCCGCCTTATATACTATTGCTAGTGATAAGACTGTGTAACCTATTGTTATAGATCTGGTGATTAATCACCTATTGTATATTCTTATGTATTCTGTTAAGTTTCTCATAGATACTCATGCGCTGACGAAGGTAACAGGAGTTGCCGAAAATTTCGCTAATAAATATTTCTATGTCTCCTACAA